TGTTTAGCTTGTAATAAAACCATGAGGAAAAGAGAAAGGGGGGATTGTAAGAAATAAATGAAACGGTTTTATTACAAGCAGGGTTTCCATGGTTGCCTTGTGATGAGGGGTTTTTGTGATCAGGGGTGTTCTGCAGTTGCCTATGGCTGCAGTTCTGTTGCAGCCATGACCTGTTAATAGTTGTGATCATGTTACTGTTGTTTGCTATTGTTGTGTGAAGGCGAACCGGGAAGCCTGTAAGGCAATGAGACCAGCCAGGGCTCATTGCCAAGGGACCATGCGGCCGGGACAGGAAAACAACCTGACAGGATGGTTAAAACAACCAATGGACTGGAAAAGGGAAGTGTGAGCCGACCCTGAGAGACCCAACTGAACTCAAGAAAAGGCTATATTGCCTTTCAAGGAAGAAAAGGAGCAGAGCTGAGCATGGGAGGGACGAGGAAATAGTTATGCAAATCAAGAGACCTTAAAAGAACTGCCCCCCCCCATCTCGTGTGTGCTCTCAGGCCCTGGCACGAGGCAAACCTGACCGCACCCAGCACGCTGAAAAAAAAGTTCTTTGTTTCACTTTATTTCTTCGAAATTTTAATTAGAGATATTTATCACAGGAAGAACCAGCTCACACGAGGGAGAAAAGCCAGAAAAATTATCTCAGTCTTCCGGCAGCATGAGCACTTCCCAACACAGCAAATCCAGGGAGTGCAGGGGCTGGGGGGCCAAGCTCCAGAGAAATGTAATGAGTGCCAGACTATAATTTTGTTGATCAATACTTCACCATCTTGGGAGCTGTCTCTGCCTCTCTATCAGTGCCCTTGTCTCCTGATGCACTTTCTATCAGCACACCTGCAAAAGATTGAAGAGCCAAGAGGAAGTGCAAATTAAACACACACAGGAATTGGGTACAGATCCAGCTACACCTGACTTTGTAGATTCTAAAACTTGTGGTTTCAGATGTCTCGTGCCCTGTACAGAATCACAGGAACACAGACAAGGAGAGGTTGCAAGGGACCTCCAGAGAGCATCTGGTCCAACCCAGATGGGACACCTGGAGCTGCATGGCCAGAACCTCATCCAGGGACTTTTAAATATATCTCCAAGGATGGAGACTCCACCACCACCCCAGGTAACAATGTCTGTAAGACTCGGGGACTGGTTTGGGGCTCAATGCCCTTGCCAGACTTCTTTCCCCATAAAGGATCTTCTTGGAGATGTGCCTTCATCAGGTAAGAGCTAACAGGCACAAGCTGAAACATGAGAAATTCCCAATAAATGTGTGAAAAAAGATTTTGGGTTGCTTTTTGCAATGAGGATGATCAAAGATTAGAAGAAGCTCAAAGGAGGTGCAATCCAGCAACACCTGGGGGTGGGCTCCAAAGCCATTGTGTCAGAAACATCTCTGCAAGAGCTGAGGGTAGAGAAGTCAAGGCCATTTCTGATGGAGGCTCCCTCAGTGCTGTCAGGTTTTGATGGCAGTTGTTTTGAACGCTGTCTGTACCCTGATTCACACCCCACCTTCGCTCTCTGTTCATCTGTTCTGCAATAACTCATTTGCCCCCAGGCCCTGAACTGTGTCCATTCCACACCCCAAGGATGTGCACGGGCTGCACCAAATCTGATCCTCTCCTGCAGCCCTGGACTCTCCTGTCCCACCTGGGACACACACAGGGCACCTGCAGCTGTGCAAGACCTGCAGCAAATCCATGGTTCCACTTCTGTGCACTGAACACTCAACAGGGGGACCCAACAGAGACCCCACTCCTCCTCAGTCACCATCTCCTGCCTTCATGCAGGAGGTCCAAATGGACGCCAGGGCACTCTGGGGAGCAAAAGGTTGCCCACAAAAAAGCCAGGCTCCCTGTGCTCAGCCAGGGGTTGGTCAGCTGCTTGTGGTGCCCCTTGCAGAGACCTCGGGGCGGCAGAGCAGCAAGGCCCCTGTGGTTGGCCCCACTCCTCCCCGTCTCCTCTGTCCCTGGGAGGAGGAAGTGCCAGGGTTGTTTGTGTCCTGTGTGCTGGTTTGGGCTGGGGCAGAGTTCCTTTGGTTCCCAGGGGCTGGTGTGGGGCTGTTTGGCATTAGTGCTGAATGATAACACAGGTGTTTGTGTTACTGCTGCCCGGGGCTTACATGGAGACAAGGCCTTTGCTGCTCCTGGTGCTGCCACTCTGGGGAGGGGGCTGGGGGTGCCTGGGAGGTCGGGAGTGTTACCAAACAAGGTGTATTTTCTTTTCCAAAGGGGTGGCTGCAGTAATGGGGGAAGATGTTGGCAAATTCTTTTAACTTTAGTACAATAGGGTTTGATCCCACATCTGTGACTGATAGTCCTGTGCCACCTCTTGCTCCCTTATTTCCCTGTCTTAGTTTTGAGAACAAGGCTTGTGTGTCAGAGCAAAGAACAATATGAGAAGAAATTATGACCTGACCAGTATTCCAGATCCTCTCAAGGAGATGAAACTCATTAGAAGACCTTGGACCACATCCAGAGAAGTCCACAGAAATAATTAGGAAATGTAATGAAACCCTTTGTTTCCCTTTCTGCCCATTGCCTCCCATCCTATTACTCAGCACCACCCAGAAGAGCCTGGCTCCATCCTCCTGACCCTTCAAACACTTCCATCCAAGGATGATGTCCCCTATCAGACTTCACTTCTCCAGACTAAACAGGCCCAGCTCCCTCAGCCTCTCCAGCCCCCTGATCACCTCTGCAGCCTCAGCTGGACCTGCTGCAGGAGCTCCACGTTTCCCAAGTACTGAGGAACCCAGCACTGGACACAGCACTCCAGGTGTGCCTCACCACGGCTGCTCCTCCCTTGGCCTGCTGGCAAAGCTCTTCCTAAGGCAGCCCAGGCAGCCTTTGGCCTTCTTGGCCTTTGCTGACCCTTGGCCAACTCTTTGTCCACCAGAACCCCCAAAACCCTCCCCGTGTGCAGAGGCCCAGACAAGCAGCCTTGAGTCACGGGAGGGATTGTGGTGGTGACTCTCATGACTGAAGGCAGTTTCTCTGGGCTTCTCCCCATGGCAGGGCCATCCTTCTCCATCCCCTCTGAGGAGCTGTGCAGGCCGAGCTCACAGCGTGGTTTGCCTGCAGAGCAGCTTTGGTGTTCACAGAGATGGAAGTCTGCTCTGCTCACCTTATTCCTTGTTCAGGTCTGCTCTGAGCAGCTGAATATCACACTTACAGGATTCCTGCAATTTCTGGAGATCTTCACGCAAAGCTTTCATTTGTTGGATGAGCTCCTGGAAGTCCTCCTTTGTGCATGATTCAGGGACCTTTGAGGCCTTGGCCTCGCTCTCGCTTTCTGTGTAAAAAAGACAGATGTCAGCGGGAGACTGACACTGTCCCCATGAAGGGGACACCACCCATCTGCCCTGAGGATACTCAAATCCTCAGTAGTTTTAAGTCTCTCCTTGAGAGTCTCTTCTTAGCCCTTCCTGCAGGTTTGTCTTTTTAATTCCTCTCTCCTCCTGAGAAATACTCACTCCACAGGAATTCAACCTTGCACTCAAGGTGCAACCTGGAAATGGGCTTTTTTTGCCTTATTTCTTCATGCAGGGAGGGAACAAGAAACTCAGTTCCCCCAGTCAGGCCTGTTTACTCATTTGTGTGCTCCACATTTCTTTTCCTTTAGACAACCCTTTCTAATTCAGCAACCTTGGAAAAGAACTCACTCATCCCTGAAAAACAGGGCTGGGCAATTGCCAAACTGATGCACTGTGGGCACTGTTAGTGATCTCTCCCCCAGCTTTCAAATCCTTTTCCACCAGGAATTTGCTCTGGGAAGGAGCTTTGGCCTCTCTCCTGGGAATCCACTCTTCCTTGGGACATGGTAACTGTTTTCTCTTCCAGCTTTTGTCTGTGGAAAGGAGATTCAGCACCACTGGGAGCCCTTAGAAACACGGGCTTGGAGCTCCTGTGTGGCTGGGGAGGAGTATTGACAGGAACCCCACTGCCCCCTCACTCCCCAACGGCCTGGCCATGGCTGAGAGCCCAGGCCATTCCTGGAGGGAAGAACATTGCCCTGCCCCCATCCCAGCTGCAAAGAGCAGGGACAGACAAACAGCTGCCTTACAACCTGGGGACGATGGCATCCAGCAGAGCCCAGGCTGGGCTGGGCTGGGCTGGCAAAGCCACTGCCGGGGCAGCTCTGCACCCTGGGGGCCTGGGGGAGTGCACTGGGGTGGAAATACAACAAAGCACTGGCTGGAGGCCCTTGGAAGGGGGAATTTAGGGACAGATGGGATTATTTGACCTCCCTGTGCTGGGCCCTCATGCACAACAGGCCTCCGTATCTTCTTTGTGTTAGGCAGGGTTTCGTTTCCAGGTAGTGTGGGCAAGTCCTGGCACTCACCTGCATGGAAAGGCTTCTCCCTTTTGCCCCTGGAGAAAAGCCCAGGATGAGATTCCTCCTTTAGTGGTCAAGGGAAGGAAAGTACATCCCAGAAGTGCTGTGTTACATCTGTCAATCATTACCAATCATGAGGGAGACCCTCTGCTAGAGCAGGACGTGTCTGTGCTCAAAGAGGGACGTCCCTGTGACCAAACTCACCCCACCCCAAGAGCCAAAGCTCCACAACCTGGCTTTGTAACCATAACACTCAGGTTTCCTCCTCCAGGGGCAGAGCAGCTCTCTGACACAAGGATGCCCAAAGACTCTCATTTAAGCTCCCTGCCAGAGGGTCTCCTCTCAGGGCTCTCCCCTGGGTGTGTATTTTTCTTCCTCACTCCCCCTCAGAAATCCTCAGCTCCCAGGAATTCAATTTTGTGATGGAGGCACAATCTGGAAATGGTTTTCCCTTTGCCCTCTGACTTTTAGCAGGGAGGGCACAAGAAACTCAGAGCACATTTTCCTCCCTGGTGCTTTTCCTCTCACTGGTGCTTTCTGTAGCTCAATAAATCTGACTTCACCTTTGAAAAGTGGGCCACAGGCTTCATTCTAAGGCCACACAGGCCTGAGCCCTCAGCAAGTCAAGGGGTTTCCCTGGACTCTTCTGGGCTGCTCACTGCCAGACTTTTGCTCCTGCAGCCAGAACAGCACCCACAGGCAGGTGAGGCCCATCTTGTCTCACCTTTCCCTGCCCTGGCTGCAATAGGCTCTTCCCCAACACACTCTCTGTCCTGCCTCAGCAAGGCCAGGGAGCACCATCTGGGTCTCAGCAGGCCCACAGTGGTGTCTGTGCCCCAGCTGGCTCCTTCCCCTTCCCAGCACCAGCTCCTGCAGGGAGAGCTGTTCTCCACGGGCCCCTCTGCTCACAGACACCTCCAGTGCTCATGGCACTGGGTCTCCTTGTTCATCTTCAAGAGGAAGACAAGGTTGGTCTCACATGTGCCCCAACACGGCCCAGCAGTGGGGAGTAGGAGAAGGGACGTGGGGAAAGG